ATAGAATAATGCGAAAACGGACATGCAAGAAACGTTAGCTATCTGCTATTCCCAACCTTGTTCTAGATCCACGACCATATAACCACACAAAATTGATTGGATTGAGTTTACAAAAACGAAAAAGAAAAGTACACCACTCCACATCCATTTCTCGAAATATTATGAGCAGGGGCGGATCTTGAATTTGTGGGACCCTGGGCTAATACTGCTTAGGGGCCGTACCTTATTACCCAACCAATTGCCATTTTGTCAAAAAGCAGTTTTCTGTAGTGATCTAGATATATATAATATATGTTAAGTACAGGAAGAAAATAGGACAACAAAATATTTTATTTATTTATTAAAACATTATTTATTGTAAAATAAATTGACAGGCTATGAATGGTCATGTTATATAAATTATAAAGTAACCTTTCTGCATTTTTGTGCTGCGAATTCCTTTATTTGGTCATTGCACTGTAAGTCCTTTGTTAAATCGCAATTTATGAAAAGAACTGTTAAATGATTTAGTCGATAGTTCAACACTGTTGTGCTGTATTTGTAGTAGTTGTCAATCTTATGATCGGATTTTTTTTAATTCTAGATATTTTTTATTATTGACAATATCGTCTATCGTTTTCAGTTCAGGTTAGGGGCCCTCTGTATCCACGGGGCCCTGGGCTGCAGCCCAAAAAGCCTTTAAGCANTGACAGGCTACGAATGGTCACGTTATATAAATTATAAAGTAACCTTTCTGCATTTTTGTGCTGCAAATTCCTTTATTTGATCATCGCACTGTAAGTCCTTTGTTAAATCGCAATTTATGAAAAGAACTGTTAAATGATTTAGTCGATAATAGTTCAACATTGTTGTCCTGTATTTGTATTCTATATACGACATCCTGGACAAAGAGCGCTCCGCTTCACAGCTAACAAAATGGTATAGCAGTTTGGGAAAACATCAACAAATTTCTTTTCATAAATTACCCAAAAAAATTCACCGCAAAAGGTGCAAGACTCTGTCTTAGACTGCAGTAAGTAAAATTTTAACTGAATGCACTCATTCACTAAATGTAACTAACAAAATTGCATCGGGCGATAAGCAGTAATAGACAATACACGGAATACACCGACCGAAAACAAGCGACGGGGAATTCCCCGTTCCGTTTGATACATGCGCACACGGGTTGATTGATCGCAGTGTTGTCAATCTTATGATCGGATTTTCTTTAATTCTAGGTAATTTTTATTATTGACAATATCATCTATTGTTTTCAGTTCAGGTTGGGGGCCCTATGTATCCACGGGGCCCTGGTCTGCAGCCCAAAAAGCCTTTAAGTAGATCCGCCCCTGATTATGAGTGCATTACATTGTTTCACATCTTGAGCAAATCATCACATTTCTCAAAAACTAGAGGAACTTACATCTCCAACTATTCGCGAACAGTAATCTAGTCTAGGTCAACTTCTGCCCTTCTTAATTCCTGTTTTGGCTTCTAATATGTCTCTTCATGTTTGAGAAGGTGCCCTACCAGCTAGCGATGCAACGGAAGTGTCATAACGGAAACAGATGGAAATAGTAAATTTTTGCGCAAGCAGAAACGAATCCGGATGCGGAAGTATAATGATTTTAGGTGATTCCTTAACTACATTAAAAGTCGTGCGCCCTTTTCGCGAATATTTTGTTATAAATTTTGCATTTAGCGCTGGCATCGTTAATATCAACAAAATAATCCCAAAAGGAACGTCTTTTTGGCTTCAAAATTGCACTTTTAACTTGAAATTTACACCACCAAGCAAACACTATACTATATAAATAAACGGTATCACTGTATTAGTATTTCCGAAAGGAAATTATTAGGAGAACTGACTAAGTAGGAGCTGAAAGTCCTGGAAGTTTTTAGATTAAAGTAGGAACTTAATAAGAGAACAATTTTAAAACATATCAACATACGAAATACTAGAAAATAGATTTAGGCCCTAATCTATAATAAAGTTATTTGCATAGGACAATACTATTATAAACAAAATTTCATCGGCTATAACGCTACCTTGACGTTAATACTTCATAAACATAAACGGTTGATAATAAAACGTTCCCAATGTTACAGAAGGTTCGTTGAAAGCTGGCGCAGATATCCGCTCGACATGCAGCTTTGCAAGGAGCAATTCCATTTAAATTGTGTTTTGATGATGATGAAAATAATAAATTTTTACGACCTGTTTTATTGTTCCGCTATATTGATTTTCAAAAAGATGAGAAATAAGATTTTGTTAAATCTCGATAAGTTTCCGTTATAAAAATGCGGAACAAGATGCGGAAGCGCTTGTGAAAATGTATGCGGAACTTGAGGAAGCGGAAGCAGAGGTCTATTGCAACACTACTACGAGCCTATCTCGCCTATTTCTTATTGACTTCTGTTGTGCCCTCTGTTCTGCTATTGTTTCTAATACTTTACATTTCTATCCCTTTCTATCCACAGTATTTTTAACTCTGCCTGCAGTAGGTACTAAATCCCAAACGGTTTTAACATTTTTTTCCGCAGCGCTCACAGTTCAGCCGTGCTCTAAAAATCCACTTTTAGGTAATAATCTTTTTTGGTAACTTACTTTTTTCAAGGTTTCTATACATACAGGTATTACTTCGGTATATTTTTGCTAGACATTGTGATAAACATTATTTTCAGGATCGCTATTCACAGTTTGTATTAAGTCTATTTTTAATTTTCGTATTCACTTACAAAATTGAGTAAAGCTTTGCCAGCTTTATAAAAAGAAGTAAGAAAATTGCCTTTTTTTAATAACGTATAAAATAACAAATGGAATAAAATGATAATGTCATAAAGAAGCCGCTACATGTGATATGAAAATACAATCTTCATGTTGAGGAAAATTAGTGTGTTTTCATGGCGCCCCTGGAAAGATATGTACCTGTTCAATCTTTTTAGTGAAATCCCAAGAATTATTTATTCTAGAAGCAAGAAATTATTACGTAGAAGGAAACAATACGAATCTAATCAGACTTCAGCTTTCTTTGAGGCAAAGTCGTCCTCTTACTTACACGGGTTTCGTTAATTGGCTGTATACCTCGACTTCAAATTACTTTTTATCAGATGTTTATAAATAGGTTTTGAGGATTGCAAAATTAAAAAAGCAAATTAGTACTTACAAAGTAAGAAATTTTAACAATTGAAAATGTTAATTTAATTGTAGTTACTTTTATCACAAACCCATTTATGTTACTGTTATCAACTCATATTATCGTAAAAATAAGCGCAACATTATAGAAACAATAATTTTAGTAGGTGGTGCTGAGTTTTCCTAATAAATCTATTTAGGAAATATGAAAAAAGAATGTTTATGTATTTCTATGGTATAATAGTACATTTCTAGTTAAATTAGGTTGCATAGGTACGCAAAAGATCAGGGTCGGCTTTATGACTGCCTGGTTGAAATTGTGTCTTTAATCTTTGCTTTCCTAAATTTCTGAGAATGTTGAATTTTCTTTAAAGTTCGATGTTGGCAACATGGTCAAATTTTGCTGGTTTGCATCTCTTTCTGTTACACATTAATTGGTGTAATGTTATTTCTTGTTCTTTATTAGTGCCCGCTGCAATTCCTACCTGACATCTCTTTTCTATGTTTATAATATTACCTAGAACGTCTATCGGTCAATATTTTCAGTGAGAAGTATACAGAAATGTGCAGTTTTGTTACGGCGCATATCTAGTTCATGACCCATACGATTTTAAACTACCTCTACTTTGGTAGACTTACAATTTTGGCTAAAGGAGCCGCAATATAAATGAAGTGTAAGGTCAATGAAACGACCGAGCGGCATGGCCTAGAGGTTTAGACCATTGCTTAGCATTCCGGAGGACGCCGGTTCGATTCCGGGTCCGTCTGCCTTGGTCCAAGTTTTTCTATGGTTTCCTTGGATCACTTAGGCAAATGCTGGGGCAGTAATATTCCACAGATAATCTTTCATTCTCTTCTGTCTTCATTTCGTCCGTCTCATCTTTCTCACCC